GAAGTTTCCCGAAATCTTATTCGTGTCAGTCGATTTTGAAGTCGGATAATTGCAAGGTTTCCTGCAATTTCTAGAAAACTTACCGTACTGGTTATGATACCAGCACCAGTCGGGATTGTCTGTCTCTCGTGGTCGAGAGCCAGATCGCTTACGTGAGGCGCTTCTACGCGGGGTTTTTGACCGACTACGGTCATTGCGAACTCTAAGATATCGTGTAAGCGTGTGACATAGTTCGGCCATGTCAGTCGAGGTCGATTGTGGTTTTTCCTTGACGGAAAAAACCTCGGCCTTAGAAGATCTAGTGATTTCCAAGATTCGATCGGCAGATGCAGCTAGTTCATCTATGGCATTGTTTTGAAATGAAACAAGCACTGCCTGCACCTGTTGAGGGAGTTTAGACAAGAAAAGTTGTCTGAATAGGCCATCATCGAAAGTTCGTTGGCCGATGACTTCTCTCATTCTAAGCAACATGTCCGTCGCAGAACCGTGTTGCAAGTCGATATTGTTAAGGAGCTGGTCTAACCGTTGTCGATCAGTTAGGTCTCCTCGTTTTAAAATCGATAGCTTAAGTGTTTCGTAAGGTTCGGGAACATCACTAGTAAACATACTAGGTGTTACGTACCTGTTAAACTCGCGCGGTAACGCCTTAACTACTGCGAGGAAACGTGTGCGCGAGTCCGTGATTCCGTGCATGCAAAAATCGGCTTCTGCATAGCAGAACCAGGACTCGATATTGTCGGGCCAAAATGGCGTTAACTGAATCGAAATAGGGGGAATAGACTTAAACTTAAGAACCTTATGAGAGTGTTCCGTCATAGTAATATAGATAACGAAAAATGTCTAATTAAAATATATCCGAGAAAAAAAACTGCGAAAAAAAGTATATCACAATATATAAAATTCAAATAAAGAATAACAATGAATAATAATATTCCAAAATGGAACAGACTCACAGTATATTGACTTGGTGTACCAGATCACGTCGGGCTCACCAATGAGGATGCAACGGATGTTCTAGTTTTACAACTAGCCACCAGTAGCACCTTCTATATTCGATCGTTCCCAGTCAGATAGAAATCAGAAGTCAGACGAGAAGAGGCAGGAAAGATATATTTGATTCGTTACCAATATATCGAGGACCTTTCCTATGAGCTGGCTAATGAAACGTAGGAGCTGTGTCCCACGCCGAGTTGAAACGTGATCTGGTGCGGATGCATGACCGAAAGCCTTCAGTTAAACAAGTCCACTTAAACAACATGGTCAGCATCCAATGTCGAACACTTAATGAACTATTGATTTTGGGGAATTATTTACAGCTACAGTATCTGCGTTGTTTTTCAGTCTGTAGACTGGGTCATGGACCATGGTTGGGCAGAAGGTTAGAAATAAGAGAGAGAGATATCAGATCATTCCTTAGCCGACGGTACCATAAAGGTTCTTTGAAGAGGTGCTTATACCTATCTGTGTAGTTGATAGTGGAGTCATATACTAACACTCGGCGTGTGAAGCGTCTTTGAATATCTACTCTTATCTTGTTTGTGGTATTCATCTTTGGGTAGATAAAGGACTATATTCAAGTGAGGGTCGTATACATATTTTGCAAAAGGTAAGGTTAGACTTTGTTGTGCAGAAGTTTTTTTTATGAAACCTATTGGCCGTTTAGATTCAGAAATAATAAAATAGTCATGTATAAGATCCAAACTAAGGTTTGGCTGAATAATAACTGTCTGGGTAGTTTGGACACTCACTATTACCCCTATGAAATCAGAACAAGGTGATTGGGGAAATAACGATTCTAAAGTTCATTATAAATACAAATGTACATTATTACCTAAACAAATATTACCACTCAGTTATTCAACCAATAATTTGTTCCCTCAATAATCAATCTAAATTACAATAAATAGACAAATTGATAAGGAATGTAAGAAAATTACCGAGCGCGCCTAACGATAGGTGTTGTTCTATCCTCTCTGGATAGAACAAGTAGAAATCCGTTCAAAAGATAATGGTTTGTTACCTTGTAACATAGTGTTTCCAATTCTGGAAGAGTGCTTCAATTCACAATCAACTGAAGAAACACAACCAAATAGGGACACAATCAAAATGACTGCCGCAGAGATTAGGTATCAACTAGAACGACATAAACATAGATCAGGAAGAAATATAGAAACTCATTGAAGGTGAAAGAAAAATGAGAAAAATATAATACAATAAAATATTACCATTTCAAATGACATCAAAAGGACTGACAAAATGTACAACTAGAGAAACCAATAAGAACTAGTTGAGAATGCATGCATGGAAAGATTTTCCCACTCAAAACCTTCAAATGGATCTTACGCCGGTTCATAAAATCCCTCCTTAGTACACAAGCCAGTTCGATAACTTTGGTCATGGATCATTATACAGCACAATCCACGCTAGAGAAACGAGTAGGACTTAAAGCAGTACGCCTACCCAACCTACCCACGTTTTTATGACAAGTAACTAATTAGAATCTTCAGGGATACATACCTTACGTATATCCCTACTAATTATTCCGTTATTCGTACGGACGATTGCTTTCCTAATCTTTCCGTCGTCACCTGTTTCACAGCCTCCAACTATTCCTAACGATCACTTTCCACGGGTCGAAATGTTCAAAGCCACAATTACTACGTCTGTCTTCTCGGCTATAAAAGTAGTCTATCCGTCGTTGAATCAATTTCAGATCATCAATTTTGTTGGATAAATCGTAAGTTCGTTAGCACTGTTACAATCTATCAACAGCTCAGACCACCGGTGACTAGCATCTTCGGCACTAAAGTTATCTGATGATTTCAATTATCCTCGTTTGTTCTCAAAGATTTCCTCCATTTGTATTTTATACCAATCTAATTCAGAAGCGGTTGGGTCTCGAATAAGTCTAAGCTCCTCTATTATTCGACTTTTGTATTCAGCTTGTTTGCATCCTCCAACCGCTTTTTCAATGTATAAACCGTGTTCCACTAACTTTTCACATCCGTCAAACAATCGAGAGTGGAAATCTAACTGCTTTTTAAGATTGAGCGTTTTGTTTTCCAAATCAGTTCGCAGCATTCTCGTTTCGTTTCTTTGAAACATTTCTCTAAAATATGGTAGTCACTAAGGTTAGTCTGGTAAGCATCATGATCTTGTCTATACTTACTAAGTTCCATTTCAATAATTATTATCTTTATCTGTAAATTACGATCCTTTTGACCTCGTATGTTAGCTTTCGTCTTCATGTCATTTGACTCGCCTCTTATGTGCCTGGAATCTAGCTCGGTCGTGGTGTCGGTCCCTTGATAAATCATATCATGTAGGTAAATCCCTGTAAACTTAGCGACACAATCAAAAACTACCTTCAGTTTCTCTGAATTTTTTTTGGGTAGGACACTGCATGATGAGGTAAATGCCAACGAGAGTGATAATCTGACTTCAATTGTATTTGAAGAACTTTCTCCTCATGGCTCGTAGTAGAGTTGCCTTAGTATACCTGGTGTGCAGACTGTCATCATTCAACAACCTACGTCTGAAACTCTGTAGTATACTGTTTGCTACTTCATGATTCCTGACTCTCATATTTGAATTCTTTTTCCATGGTATCGGAACTACAAAATAACCATTTTCGAAGCACGTGTCCCTTTTCACAATCTGTGTGGCCGCATTATTTCCTAATGATACTGATTCGTCACTTGAATGGACTCCCCATCATAAGGCTTGCGTACTTGATCTTCTAATGTCTGTACTTTACTGGTATAGTTAACGACTCTTTTCTTTAGGTCGGGGCATGATGCAGGTTCAAACACAGCCCACCCTAGCGACGATTTCGCAGCCTACGGGGTTTTCCTCCCACCCACCCGATCGGCCTCATGGTAGTCGCAGTCAGTCAGCAGCAGGACTTCTCCAGAATGTAGACTATCTGATGGCACATCACCCAAATGCAGTCGGCCTGTGCCCTGGTATACGTGACACAATCAGAGCTCCATCAATCGTAGCATGCTTGGACTGATCTAAGGAGTTGTTGTGCCGTAAATCTGATTCTGTCTGACTTTATTCGCGTTGGTGAACAACGGAGTTAAATACGTCAAATACGAGAATAGATTTAGAATACATATATTTTCTACAGTCATTGATCTGGCCAGAGAATCAGAGTGATGAAGCGAATAAAAGCGAACGAATCGAAAGATCGTGCGCAATGGAGATTGGCTGGGTAGCCAACTCGATTTAAGCAAGCGTTAATCAACATTTATAGTCAGACAAAAATGAGTGACAGACATATGATGAATAAGATACGAAGTGTACACATATATTCTCATATAAAAGTATAGTCAATGTTAATAAGCAAATGATTAACAAGATCAAAATATGACTCATAAAGGATAGGCGAATTGGCTTGGCCAGCAACTAGAATAAAGTATATGGGCTTAACATATAAACTGATACTACAGAGTATACTTCAAAAGGCGCCTTAGTGACCTTGTGGCTCTGTTACCACCTACGATCTGGACTACCACTGACGCCTGTTCCTCCTTCAGCTCGAGCGATCTCAAGCAGTCTGACATTATCAACGCTACATCAGAACTATTATCCAAAAGAACCTAACTCGCGATCTCAACTGTACGGGGATCACTCCTAAACATATGTGATTACCCAGTGACCTAGTAAATACACAAACGTTTTTCGTACCAGGCTTATACTTCGAGCTGCTGGCTGTCGAACCACTGTGCAATAGTGAGTGATGTTTCTTCGTACACCTTTCAACGGTACAGCTCTTCGTCAGTCTACATTGACTAGCCTTATGTCCTTGCTTAAAACACACAAAGCAGATACCTTTACCCTTTACGTGAGGCCATCGATCTTCTACTGTAAGCGCCAAGATATCGTGATCTCAAATACATTACGTCAAGGAATCATTTTTGTTATAATCGATGATTGAGGGTGCTTCTGGCCTTGCGAGCAGGCGCTTCTTTTGAGTCTCAGCGTGTGGTTGAGCAATGCTGAGGTTTGGCATCGCTAATCCCACTGATGATTTCGAAATAGTAACAAAAGTCCCAAAGTCCTCTGTAGGTACAGTTGTTTTCTATATTTCGTTAGCGTAAAAGACATAAAACTTTGATTAAAAGTGGGAAGACCGGGAAGAAAAAATGCAAAAACAAGACTGATGAGGATGATCAAGTTTTGAAGCCTGCATGGACTGATGACGATGATATTTCTCCACAAATATCAATCCGGTTTGTTCAGTCGTGTTAATTTATTCTTTAGGCCTCCACGGGCCTTAGACGTGTTTGCAAAATTAGATCAACTTAAGAACGTGAAATCAGTTGGCTCCGATGATGAAGGGGACTGTGTTTACGCTCGCAAATCTGCTGCATGTGTTGAGAAAATCTCTGAAATACTTTCTTACGGAAAACAAATAGGCGTTAAAAGACTTAGTGATGTCAATCGTGAGAGAAGATCAATGGCTTCGATTGTATCGACTGAGTTCAATACACACCACCGTATGCTTTTAACTGCAAGCGTAGACAGTACTATGGCGTTTTTCAAGGTGATACTGATATACCATAGGCATTTTATAACGTTTCAATTGTATTAATCTTTATTAGCTGACTCGGTATTCACGTATAATTTAATTGTTAGGTTATCAGCTGGCATAAGACATCAACTTAGTCATTAGTTATAACTGGATTTGTTCTGACGTTTTTGACAGGTTTACTCAAGTTTTGGGGAATATCGTGTCAATATCGACACGCTTATAATACGTAACTTGTGTTACTTCACTGGGTTTTATTTCATGAGGAAAATTTTATGTTAGCTCGATTATTTACGTAATTCGTTGAGAACTTCATCTTGCGAAAAAAATGATAAATTACTGGTTTCCAAACCTAAACCACATACTTTAGTCTAAACAGCTGGTTGATGCGGTTAACCCTCAAAGTCTGGTTTAAAATCTGTATTTTGGGTTATAAGTTTATATTCACTTTTCATGTTTTAACTCCTTGGATGTTATCAAGTTAAAGTTATTCAAGCTCAGTTATCGACAATAAACTCGTTCCTTGTAGTTACTTATTGATCTTTCGAATACTTCACCATTAGCCCTGGTACGGCCGAGAGGAGGGAGATTCAGCTCTCCCTCTCCAAATGCTCTCAAATGGCCATGTGCATACAACCACTACTAGGAAAGTCCAATTCACTGACTTCTTGCGGTGGGGGTGTTGCTAATCTATTTCTCATATCTATATGGTGCCTCCTTGTACCAATGTGTTTAAATAAATGAATATAATACTTTACCAAAGTTGAGAGTTTAAGTTCTACATAAAATATAGCTTAAAATCATGTGACTAAAAACATATATGGTGAACCAAACTATATTTAGTGCTGAATTTATAAGTATTGGTTGGGATACCTTTTGAGGCTCATATTTGTATGTGTATAGTTTGTTTTACAGAAGCAAACAGCCTCTGTCGAAATAATAAGCATATATTACAGTTTCAGAAGTTAGATTTATTTGACCAAACCAGTCACTGTGTATTTGATGTGTGGCTAGTGAAAGCAAATGTAGTTAACCGCTAAGGGTGACAATCAGCTTGCTGACCGTCAATTATGTGATATGCTTGCTACATATTTCTACTTTGAACTCACTGAGTATAGACCACCTATAATTGTGTTGAATAAAATATTTTGTAGTCTACGCTGGTTTTCTGTATTTGGTTGTGAATCGCATATCTGGCGTAACGTGACTCGTCTGTGTATAATAAAGCGATCGAGTACATTCTCGATCACCGGTCCCATTATCGTATAATAGTAGTTTAACGTAACAAAAAACATTTTCCTCAGTTGTATCATTCATTATTAAATCGATTAGTAGACTTATTATATAGGTTCATACTGCTAGAAAATCAGCAGATACCTGTGCAGCTCTCGCAAAGATATTGGGGAGACATAGAGGGAGACATCATAGAGTTACATCTTATCATTTCTGGGATTCGAGTAGATCAATGCTTGAGTGGAGATTCAAACACCCATTTGGTTTCGTAGTCCCATTATACCTGAGATTTAATCATAAAGGAACATCGTCAGCCAGTCAGTTACAACGTAGGACCAGGCACATATATGCATCGGTCCAAGTTGCCATACCTCGTTAGCACAACAAGATCAACACCGGATTCATAGTAGTTATGGCAACTTGGACCGATGCATATATGTGCCTGGTCCTACGTTGTAGCTGACTGACTGAGTTAATTTAGTGGTGGTACATAAGGAAAGATTGTATATAAGGATATAATATAGGAAGGAAGAACGTTATGAAGCAATTTCAATCTCAAGGTTTAAGGGAAGATAAAGAGTGTATACACCTACGCCATTGTGATCGATTCTGAGCCATGTCACCTAGAGTCTCCAACCATTGGTTACGATAGTCACGCGGACCCCAACCAGGTAGTCTGCATCTGCCAACATGGCTCAGACTAGAAGTTAGTGACTTCAAGCAGATGCCATGTTTTGGTTTGGCCGCCCCTAACTCTCTTCCAACCATTGCCAATACTAGTCATCATAGAGCGTCGTGTTAATCGGTGTTCGGGCATACGTAACACGTGGCCCAACCACCTCAGTCGATGAAGATTCATCACCTCATCAACTGACTTACCATCATTCCCTAATACCCTGCGTCTAACCTCACTATTACTTACCCGATTATCCCAGCAGATGCGAGCAATATTTCTAAGGCATCTGTGGTCAAATACTAGTAACCTACGAGTATCTTCTACTCTTAATGGCCATGTTTCACAGCCGTAAAGCAGAACAGAGCGAACTGCTGCGCATTATACTCGTCCCCTAATTGATAGACGGATATCTTGTCTTCGCCATAGGTGACGTAAGTTGGCAAAAGCCAAACGAGCTTTTTGAATCCGTGCTGAGATTTCGTCAGACACCAACCCATTAGGACTGATCAGACTTCCAAGATAAGTGAAGTTGTCAACGCGTTCGACTACTTCACTCCCTATCCTTAGTTCAAGTGTTGACGCAGGCCAGTCCTGGAATAACAATTTACATTTGGATGGGGAGAAACGCATCCCAAACATCCTGGCATTATTACTGAGTTTCGACAGAAGACTCTGCATTTTGTCAGCGTCTTCACCAAACAGGACTATGTCACCTGCGTATTCTAAGTCGCTTAGTGGTCCCCCTGGTAGGAGATCAATTCCTGAAAATTCAGTCGACGAGAGTGTTATTTCCATCAACAGGTCTATAATGAAGTTAAACAAAAATGGGGATAGTGGACAACCTTGACGGACACCACTTGAGGATGTAAAATCATATGACAGTTCGCCATAAGCTCTCACTCGACTGGTTATTTATTTATTATTTATTTATTTAAACACATATATATTGGTACAAAAGGGCACCAGGTACATATGCGCCACACAAAATAATGAAAGTAGGAAGAGAAGGTATGAAAAGATAAGGCGGACTGAAATGTACAACCAGAAGACTCTTTCAGTTAAGAAAGTTAGAACCATTCTTTATGTTTATTTATTATTTATTTATTTATTTAAACACATATATATTGGTACAAAAGGGCACCAGGTACATATGCGCCACACAAAATAATGAAAGTAGGAAGAGAAGGGATGAAAAGATAAGGCGGACTAAAATGTACAACCAGAAGACTCTTTCAAATAGGAAAGTAAGAACCATACTTTATGTAGAAAGTAAAAGAAGGTTGCAGCAGGATCGCCACTGGCTTCTATTCTGAGCCATATCTGATAACGTCTCTAGCCACTGTGTTGCACCATCTCTCGGACCCCAACCAAGGAGTCGTGAAGGACCAACAGAAGCTAGCCCTTTACAGCTCTCTTTCATGCCACGACACCATGTCATACACTGACCTCCTCTCCGCTTTTTCCAACCAGTCCCAGAGTCGGCAAATAATGCACGACGTGGAAGTCTCTGGGACGACATTCGTAAAACATGTCCAAGCCACCGAAGTCGGTGTTTCAAGATGGTGACACCAATTGAATTATCGTCTCTGTGCCCGAACACACGATGCCGAACCTCTGCATTACTAACATGGTGTTGCCACTGGATGTCAGCAATCCTTCGGAGACAACGATGATCTAACACAGAGAGACGTCTAACATCCTCAACTCGGAGAGGCCAGGTTTCACAAGCATAGAGCAAAACTGCTCTCACCGACGCGTTGTAGATCCGACCTTTTACAGCCAGACTAACATCATGAAGGTGCCAAAGATGGCCCAGATTGGCATAAGCCGCTCTGGCTTTCATTATACGTGCATCAATCTCATCACTCACGCCACCACCAGCAGTCAGTCAGTCAGTCACAACGTAGAACTTCGTACGTATGTACATCAGTTCGAGTTGCCATACCACATTAGCACAGAGATGCAGTTGTCGATTCAAATCCCATAGTGGTAGAAGTAGTAGGAGTATAATCAGAAATCCAAAAGATTAGGGGTTTGAAGAAATTATAGAAGGAGTATAGTACAGTGAAATAAATTTGGAAAGAGAAAAAGATAAAGACATGAGGAATTCAGAAGATTAGAATTTGGTAGAACACAAAGAGTGGATGCATCTTCGCCATTGCAAACGATTTTGAGCCATGTCATTCAAGGTCTCTAACCATCGGTTGCTGTCATCTCGCGAATCCCAACCAGGTAGTCTACACCTACCAACATGACCCAGTCCACTTGTCAGTGACTTCATTGATTTGTGCCACGTTTTGGTCTGGCCACACCTAGCTTTCTTCCAACCTACTCCTACACCATGAAACATTGCACGTCGGGGCAGTCGGTGGTTGGGCATACGTAACACGTGTCCCAGCCATCTCAACTGATGAAGTTCCACTACTTCATCAATCGATTTGCCATCCTTACCTAGTACCCGTTTTCTAACATCTGCATTACTTACCCGGTGGTCCCAGGATATACGAGCAATGCTTCGAAGACACCTATGATCGAACACTAGTAGCCTACGAATATCCTCTACTCTTATTGGCCATGTTTCACTGCCATAGAGTAGGACGGAGCGAACTGCTGCACAGTAAACCCGTCCTTTGGTTGCTAGACGGATATCTCGCCTACGCCATAAATGACGCAAGTTGGCGAAAGCTAGACGAGCCTTCTGTATCCGTGCTGAGATTTCGTCACACACCAGACCACAAGGGCTGATGAGACTCCCAAGATAAGTGAAGTGGTCTACACGCTCAACTACTTCACTCCCTATCATTAGTTCAGGTGTCGATGCAACCCAATCCTGAAGTAACATTGTTATGACTTGACCTAGCCGTCGCCAATTTGTTATGTTTTTGACCTAGGCGGTAGCCAATTGTTATGACTTGATCAAGGTCGTCGCTGATTCGTTATGACCTTACGAATTTAACAAGGACGTAATTCGTGTAAATTGTCCACCAATAGAATACGACTTCTACGACCTTCACACTGTGACAATGACGTTCGATTAGTATGAGTAATCTAGCGTCCTTATTGGCCCTTATCCGCCCAACCCGTCCAATTGAGTCCAAAAACACCA